TCTCCTGGGTACCTAAGGCAGATAATGAAACAGCAGTGCAAATTGTCACCAGATGGGACTCTAAGAGTGAGAATTGGCTGGGAAGGTCCCCCAGTTGCTGTTGCTTCCCCATTTTGGGGGCAGGGGTTCAAGTATGATTGCAGAGCTTACATCACTCCATCTGTTGCCAGCAGTGAAGAGGTTTGTGGTTGAGGGAGGGGTGTATGTTCCTTTTTTTTGGAAGGAGAAAAAAAAGAAAACTAATTGGGGTTAATGTGACCCCCTGTGGCCAAAGACAACCTGACTCCTGTGTCCTGGATATAGTGGATGACACTGACCCTGATTATGGGCATAATTCTCCCATCCTGCCATCTGGAGTAGGACACGTCATCACTGAGGCAGCTTATAACTTTTCACAATTCATTCTTGAATTCTTGAGCCCCTTAGTTTACAACATTAAAGAGCCTGAGTTTAAGTTCTAGTATTGTACTGACCAGTGGTGGGCAGGATTTCGCTAATCTGCTAATCATTGATTATCAAAGTAACATTTTTGTTAGCAGATTACAGTTTCCGCTAACTTTGAAAGCCATTAGTGGACCAATTCCGCTAACATTAGTTCTACCCATTGTAAATTTGCAGGTAAAGTTAATAAAATGTAACAGTCAAAAACGTTCGTAAACACTAAAATTATTCATATTTGTTACTGTCATGAGCATGTCTGCAACAGTGTGTCTGACTGACTACTTGTAAACACAAGATGTGATTAGTTGATAACTCGTTGGATTTAAGGTGGTCTGGACTAAATATAAGTGAAAGGAGATAGAGTCCATTTAAACGGTGGTACCCAGAATTAACTGGAGAACAGGGGCCTGTATCACAAAGCTGGATTTCTTTCTTAGCTGGATAACTTAAGGTACCGGATGAGCCAGTTGTGAAATACGGCTTCTCCAACAAAAAATCTTATACCTCGCAAAGGGGATATCATAGAAAGAAAATTTCAATACATACTTATTCCGCAGACTCAATAAAATCCCACGATATCCAATTGTGTAAGTTCTAAATATCCCCTGGTAATCACTGCAGTCTGAAAGATAACACTTCAATGTTAAACAGGTAAAAATTTTAGCTCTCTAGGTATATATTTTAAGGGTTTCATAGCCAAAAATTAAACCAAAGATAAATTTATATAATAAAAGTTACTGGTTAGTGGATATCATGAGCTTCTGCTAATTTTTTTTGTGGTTTATCGGTTTAGTATTAATGAATTAAACTATGGAGTTAGTCGATTAGTGGTTAGCAAAGTGAACTTTTCGGTTAGCTGTACCCACCACTGGTGTTCATCTGACTCTATTCACCTTCACTGCTGACATATCCATGGTGACGTTGGTATCCTGAGTGGTAAAGATGCCCGGTCTCCAAAATAAATAATAGTAATAATAATAATCAGTACAAAAAAACAAATCACTACACAGCATTTCTTTCTTAGTTTTTGTCATATCAAAAATGTAAATCACTGACTTTAACCATAATTTCAGCAATTAATCACAGGCAGTGATGACTGCATAAGGTGTACCTTAAAATTTAAATAGTTCAGTCATTATGAATGCTTTACTCTGAGAAAAATACATATTTATCCGAAATATAGAACATGAATAATCAGTACTTTTTGCGTGTTGTGTTACATTTCTGTGATATGCATACTTTAAAACATTCGGTAGGTTTTTGTACCACTGGTATGTTTCTAACAGCATTACCAGTGAATTTTCAATTTATAATTAGTACATTTGAAATTTGGACAGTCCGCTTACAAATAAACAAGACTTATATAAAATTTGGCTCATATTGTGCATCTATTTTTGTCGGGTTTTACCAGAAAGAAAAGCAGCTTAATATCCTTCCAGTTCTGTTATGATTTCAGATGGGACCCTGGGCATCTTTCAGAATCCCAGCAGCATCTACAAAGCATGGATGTTTGCTTTTCCTTTGTTGGAAGTAATTAACTCTGCGAAGGACTGTGGGAGATAACAAGCTACCGCTGATGCAAGTGTGTGTGTCATTCTGAGATGCATGTATGCCTCAAACTAGGATAAATTTCATTGTGTCTGTCGTGACTTCAGGAAATCCTACAGTAACTTGCCACATTGAAAAATTATTTTTTTAAAGAGAAAAAAAATACCCGTAATGACAGAGGAGGCTAATGAACTGGAAAGTCTTTAATGAGCTTCATAGCAGGCTGCTTGTTTACATCAGTATGGGAGGAGTTTTTGTGTATTACAAATACTGGCTTTCCCATTGTCCTTCTATAGGCTGCAGCCTGAACAGGAAAAAGTGAGAGCACTTGAGTGAGAGAGAAAGTTAGTGATTTGTCGAGAGTGGTGGTCAGCAACTGGGGGCCCTGGTCTACATCCGGACCAAAATATAACTGAACCTGGCATGCAAATCAGCCAGAAGACCCACCACCCTAACCTCAATCCCAGTGGCATTTGGACCTCTGGGAGAAATAGGTGGGGACCCCTGCTCTAGGTGTAAGACTTGAGTCATTTGTTGTATGAGAGTGACTAGCTAGATGAGGAAAGATCCATCCTGACCCTGAGTCAGTGTTTGGCATCAAAGCAGTAGGTAACCCTTTAAAATAACAACTGGAACATGAGCAAAGAACAGAAGCACAGGTACCATCCTCCATAATGTATAAGCCGAGTTTGAGTTTGACTTTCTTTTGGCTTTAATTGTGTATTTTGCTAATTAATGTCATTCAAACCTTCTTTTTCTGCAAAAAATAGAGGCGGTCATGAATTTTAATTCCTGTTATGTTTTACACTTGTTTTTAGAATAAATTAGTGTCTCCACAACTGAGTCACTGTAAACCTTTAGTGATTCTGTTACGAGTTTATGTGTAAGATTAATGTCATTGGTATTCCATGGGACTACAGCAAACACTTAGGCTGTCATTCAGGAAAAACCACAGACTCTCCTGCTATAAACTCTGCTTGTCCATGGCAGTTTATGTTGGCAGCATCACTGCCGCATCTCACATTCTTGATGATCGGTTGTCACAGGACTCAGTCTCATCCTGCCATCTCTCTCTCTCAAGCTGAAGTGGTGCTTAGAAGAAGAACGATGTTGTGAAAACTGTTTGTGTGTGGGGGGGGGGGGGCATCAATAGAAAATGGTAACATGGCAACAAATGGAGAGTGAACTACATGTTCAACATGAACTGGATACAGGGCAAGGATGTGAAGAGTCGCAAAGGAGGTGTCGAATGAGGGAATCGGGAAGAGACAGCAAGCACTCGCCAAAACAGAGGCTTGAATAATTTAATCTTGTGTGGTGTTGCTGACAGGCACTGTTGATTTATTCATGTATATTTGAGGAAGTTGTAATCTTTTCATAGCTTGCCTGCTTTGCTTTGTGCTGGAGATGACAGTGACAGAATCGGGCCTGTTACTACATCTCCATTATTAATATCAGGCACCCAGGCAATGTAGGCCTGCTCCGCGTTTTAGTCTCTCATACATCTGGTTTCCCCTCAAATTTACTTTAGGTGTGAGTTATTTGGCACTTTTTATTGAAGATTTCTGGCTGCCTTCCATACAGGAATTTTCTTTGAATAATTGGGGATAGCGCTTCAGTATATTTCTATACAGAACTTCTCTGATTCTTCTTACCATTATATATTATATTGTGTGTATACACTGATTAGCCAAAATAATAAAACTGTTCAACTTACACATTGTGAGAGAATTTTGTCTTAAATGTATTTTACTTATCAACTTTATTTGATGGTGGTCATGAAATATAGCACTTTATCATAACATACCAAGCTGTTAATATTCTATTTAAGGTTCTGTTGGTTCAGATTTCGTAACTGGTCTCATGGTTGTTCACATTAAAGGTTCCAATTATTCCAGTTAAGCTTTTTCGTGGGATTACTACACTTTAATCACATACATCACATTGTTAAGGCTGATTAAAAAGCTTTTTTCTGGTCTCTCTGAACAAATCTGTGAATTCTTTTCTACATCACCACCACTTGTTTAGTGATATATTGTTGATGATAATAATAATTGCAGTGTCTCAAGTATCTACAGTAGTCTATTCTGAGAAGTTACATTCATAGTTTGGCAAACACATTTTTTTTGTGCAGATGTTCACAAATCAACAACAACAACACACAAATGCAGTGATGTGTCGATAACTGCAGACACAAATCAGTGCAAGTTCATAATCAGAAACTTGTGCTGATTCAGATATAAAAATACAATTCTCTGTAATGTGTCCAAAAACTATGTTTACCAATGTAATTTGCTCACATTTCAGTCTGAATTTATGCACTTTTCCCAGATGCAAATTTATTTTCACATCAGCAATGTAAACGAAGTAGCTCATATTTTACAGACAAGTAAAGTGTCAGGGCTTTGATCTTAGCCTCAGCAACACGCTCATCACCTCTCAGGGGAGATGGTGGCGTATTGAGTAACAGTCATGTGGATTCTCTTAACTCCCATCCCTCTAGTGACTTTCAGTACCAGTCAGTAATGTGGGCATTCCAAGCCATGTAATAAAGAAAGGGATAGTGTCACATCACATGACCTGGCCACCTGACCCAAACACAGCAGAGATGGTTTTGGAGGGGTTTGACCAGAGAGTGAAGGAAAAAGCAACCAATGAGAGCTCAGATCATATGGGACCCCCTTCAGGGCAGCTGGAGAAGCATCACAGGAGGCCTCCTCATTTAACTGGCGTAGAGGAGATAGTGGGACCAGCCAATCCCTGCAGGTTAAGGGCCTTGCTCAAGGGCCCAATGGTGGGATCACTCTTCTGGCCCAGAGATTTCATCTGGCAACCTTCTGGGTTGCAACTCACAAAGCCGCCTGTCCCCACTAAAGCACAGACTTTATCATTATTAATTTTATCCCACTCTGTAGTATGTGTCCACAATGTCAGTTTTGAAGCCTGTGTGTCTGCACACTCATCCCTTCTGTGTGTCTGCACACTCATCCCTTCTGTGTCTCTCCCTCCAGGTTGCAGGGGGATGCTCTGTGGCTTTGGTGCGGCGTGTGAACGTCTCCCCGCTGACCCCTCCAGAGCTCAGTGTGTATGTAAGAAGATGGCGTGCCCCCAAGTGGTAGCGCCTGTGTGCGGCTCAGACTCGTCCACGTACTCCAATGAGTGTGAGCTGGAGAAGGCACAGTGCAGCATGCAGAGACGCATTAAGGTGGTGCGCAAGGGACCCTGTGGTGAGTCCATCCATTCTCACATCCTCCTTCATGTCAGTCATGGGTGACATTCATGGGAAACAACAGTATGGTTAAGCTGAAAAAGGCTATAACTTACCCAGAACAATTAACTCATGTCTCAGAAGCAAATGATTCTATCAATCAGTCAGTGCCACCAGAATGAATAGTACCTCCGCCGTCTTTTAAACCATGTGAATAAAAAGGCTCAGATATATTGTCAGAATGTCAGTGTAAGTATGGTCTTGAGCTCCACAATTCTGAGTGACAGTCATTTCCCACTTTCTTACTGTCTTTGAATGATCATTTTTCTTCAGCAAAATGATTTTTATTGATGTCAAAGACTCAAAACTGCAAGATCTACATTATAGTATATAAAGTTCACTTGCAAAACAAAACCCTCACATGCACATCTTTACTGAAATGGCCTCAAGACAAAAAGTCACACAGCACTGTATCACACAAAAACAGCAACACGGCAGTACAGAACAACAGAACTACTGTATGGCAAAATGATGTACTGTTGGAATGAAAAACAACAGTGCCGTATCACTGCAATTTATGGAATATGTGAATCATTCTTATTATTTGGTCAACTATTTTGCATGTTTACGTGATGATCACTGATATGTTTTTTTAAATAATGTGGCAAACCTGAAGGAACATAACATATAAATTCCACACATGCATTTAAAAACTAACTGTAAATGGCCCGTTTGTCCACATCATCATCCAGAAGGATTTGACAGTGACCCAAAAGAGTAGTGATGTGAGCTTATCTGCTCTTTCAATTGTGTGTCTGTACTCTCAGACAGGGTGTGATAAGGAAAAAAGAAAAACTGTTTGATGAAGTAAAAAAAAAATCTTTAAATGGTGCTTTGGTCATAGGATAGCTCTCCGTCTGGCAAAGTGTTTGTAGAATGAGGCAGGTTATCAAAACCTATGAAATATTACATTTCTGCTCTGCTGGAAAGCATATGAGTACAGCCAGCCTTCTGTACAGTATATGTATCAGTATTCTGTATATCTGTGAATCTGTATGTGTCACTTTGTGCTGGGGACGTGGGTGTTTTGTCATCGCCAGGTTTATCAATTCTTGTTTGTAATTTATTGGTTTCTGTTATGGTAAAACAAGGCCGTAAGTTATTGTACAACGTCAGTATTGATATTTGTGTAATGCTGGCTTTCAGAGTATTCTGTCTATTAATCTATGCTCGTACTTGCTCGCATGCTTGTCTATATTTCGTTTAGTTTGTGTAACAGGACAGAAAAGAGGCAGGTGCAATAGAAATTTGTTCTGTGCCATTTTAGTTTCAGGAACTTACCAGACTTTGGTGGAATAGTCAGAAAACATTTGTACTCCATTTTGCTGTCATCACAAATACCAAGCACAATTTTGTCTACTATCGAAATTGAATGACCATTCCTGATAGTAAGCTCTCTGTACCAACTGCTTTAAGGCTGGTTTCTGTTTTGCACCCATATATTTGTAATCTTAATGTTCATGGTCTGATTCCTCATTATTTATAATTGCACTATGATCGTGGGGGAAAAAAATTGCTACATTTTGCTATGTTTGTTAAATTAGCAGACAGATATTTGATGCATAGTGGAAACTTGTGTACAATTTCACAGTAATTGGTTTCAAATGAGTCTCTTGGACAGCTATACTTCATTATAAATTTGCAGTCTTCTGATGTAGGTTACAAACAGTGCCTGTACCGTGCTTCTGGGTATTGTGTGAATGAGTCCCTCACAGAGGATCAAAATTCTGATGTGGGGGGTGACACAGAAGCATATTCAAAAAGTTTATACACTACAGGCCAGAAGTTTGGGCCCACCCTCCAATAAAAAATAAATAATAAATGATGCACTGCTTTTTCAAACTTTTATTACAAGAAAATATTAGAAATACTTAAAACAAATGTAACTGGCTGGTTTTGAAGTGTGATGTGACAATGCAGTGTAAGTGCAATTTAATGAATGCGATTGCTTAAGTACCAGCTTCATCAAAATATCCACCCCTTGCCTTTATCACAGCAGCACAGATTCACAGCATCCTTTCCATCAATTTCTGGAAATTACTTGTGTCCAAACCCTCCCTGCACCTTTTCAAGTATGCAAACAGTTCTGTCTCATTTGCTAGATGCTCACTTCAAACTTATTGGTCCAACTCGTCATGTGGATGGACTTCTTGTCCATCCACATGACCTGCTCCCAGTCCTGAATACTCCAGCGTTTGTGTTATTTAGGCTGTTGTAGCCTCCTTTGCTTGTTAACACCATAAAATAAAGGTTTTCTGGCAGCAGCTCGACCATGCAGTCCAGCTGCTCTCAGTCTTTGCTTGGCTGTAGTAAGACACATCGGTTTCCCTCTGTTCACATTAATCACAGCCATCAGACCTTTGCATGACATCTTTTGATTTCTTTTGCACATCACAACTAAGTGCTGATCTTCAGCGTTTGATGTCACTTTCCTTGCCCCAGACTGATTCCGGTCACAGTGGCTTCCTGTCAACCTTTTTCTCTGTAAACAGTGGGTCACTCCATGCTTTAATGAGCAGGCAGCACATTAAATGTCTCACAAACTGATCTGGGACAAAGCAGACAAGTGGCTATAATTTAGTTTATTTAAAGGCCAAGAGCAAATCAAGTTTTGTCATTAGTAAATAATGTCAGAACTGAAGACTAAAGACAGACCTGATATGTCTTCTTCATGTCTTCTTCAAAACTCATAGTTTCAGTCTTTCTGTTACTACAAGCTATAACATACTAATGACCAGTTACTATTTTTTTTACATATTTCTAATATTTTCTTGTAATGAAAGTTTGACAAACAAATTTTATTTTTTTTTAATCCAAGGGTGGGCAAAAACTTATTATACATCCCATCTTGATTGTCGTTATAATAATGTCTAGCAGGTCTGCTGGTGAGTTACACAGTTTAGATGCCCATTTATCTCATAATCTGCATTTCTCTGAACTTACGCTTCTCACAGAACATTCTCCCAGTGCTACTTATTTTGCCTGTTTTTCTGTAGTTGATAATAATAAGACACATTAACAAAGCGGTGTGCCCTGATACGCTGGGAACATTGAGTGAGGCATTAAGTTTTGGCACAGCGAGGTGATGTAGAGGGATACCTGTCTCTTGTTACTTACCACCCAAGCCCTAACCCTAAGTTCTTGTTTTTTACTGTGACGGTTGTGTCTCTCAGGCAGAGAGAGACCAGAGAAAACTCTGACGTATATCTAACAGAAGGCTGTATGTGTGGTGCCTGGGGGGGGGTTGGTGCAGTCTGGTGCAGGTTTATCCTCCACTGTGTTTTTATAGCCTTTCTGTACGCTCCATTCTTATTCTTCGCAAGGATGACATCTGTGCTGCTACTTCTCATCCCCTGAGTGAACGTATGCCTGGGCTCCCCCCCCACTGCTCCTTTCCTCTCATTTCAAAACCGCAATTTGGGAAAGAATTACCTCAGTTAAGCATCCCTGTCTAATGGAATATAAAGTGCCTTTTTATTTTGTTTTTTGTTGTTGTGTTTAACAGAATGGTTACATTTGCCATTTGACCCTGGTTACGTTTGGGGTGTAGCTCTGGTTACATTTAGCATGTGACCCGGGTTACATTTAGCATATAGCTCTGGTTACATTTAGCATGTAGCTCTGGTTACATTTAGCATGTGACCCAGGTTTTGTTTAACATGTGATCCTAGGTACATTTGCCATGTGGTCCTTGTTTCATTTGTCATGTGATCCTGTTTACATTTGTTTGTTTTAACAGTCAAGTTATCACCTCATCACCTAGTCCCAGATGTGTAGCTGCCATATGAAAATAACATCAAATACCATTTTAGAAGCATCATCCATGAGTTGCAACACAAATTTTGATGAATCATTATGAGTCTTTCCCGTGACATATTCAAAGCCATTTTCAGTCCCCAGAGTGCACTCCCACTGTAATTAGTAGTGCAGTTCTGCTCCACAGGGACATTGCACTGGGAACATTTTAATGTGGATCTGCTATAGATTGCCATTATTCTCTCTATGAAGGGTGACACCAGATAAGTCTTTCTCACAAAACACCCTGGAAATGGCATCAATTGCTTCCATACAACGGAGAACTGCCAGTGACCCATGAAGAATGAAGAATGCTTTCCAGTAACGAAGTAAAGAGCTAAAGGAAGAATCATGTCAGTCCAACAGAAGAACCTGCTTTTATCTATTAAGGTCAAATAGTTGTTCAAAATCTGACTAATCGCCTGAATTTTGTTGGTTTGTTATGCATATTGTGTCTAGATTACTATGAAAAGAAAACCATAGTGTCTTCTAAGAGATGCAAAAGCCACTGAATTACCAGGTGAAGACTCAGTAAAAGTGTTCAAAAGACAACAAAAGGATGTGATAAAGCACCGCACATGTTATTTTCAAAATAAAAACTAATTTGAAAAGGCGGAATTAAATGAAAATCATTTACACAAAAGCAAGGGATGATAGACATGCGGTAAATGTTCCTTCAGAGGGGTAGAGGATAGGAAATGAAAATGGAGGTGCTGATATTGTCAGACGGTTTCTGAATGGGGTAGCCAATTTCCTCATAAATATTTAGCGCAAAAATAATAATAATAGTCTTATCAGTGTTGTGTGGCACTCAGGGTCTTTTTAAATTTGCAACGGTTTATTACATTGGTCTTCACTAAATTAAACACCCACCTATACAAAGCCCCCACTACTCGACCATTTATTTACAACTTCCAACCATCTATCTTCAAACCACCTGCACGGACAAGTCCCAACAGTGCAGGTACCGTCCTCCGTACTCCTCTTCTTTGCGTTGGAATTGATCATTGGCACTGGAAGATGGCGCAAAAATGTATATACGAGAACACAAGTGTGGTCCAGTACGCATATTGAGAACCTCGTAGAGTGGATTTGAACTTCCAGTCCTGACAGTGGGAGGCCACCTTCAGTCCATATATGTACCATATTTCCTCAAATAGTAGCTGGGGTCTTTTTTTACCTATTCTGCAGAAGTAACAGGCCTTTATTAGAGGCGGGCTTGTCTTTACGGACAGTTCCCTCTGTTACTGCATTACAGTGTTAATATAAATTCTGCCTCATCTAGTGGGTGGTGGTGAGTGGGTCAGCCGGCTGAGTCTCTGTGGCTGTGATCAGAATGTCGGTTCAAGCCCAGCCTCAGCAGAACTGCCACATGTCCATGGGCCCCTGATCAAGGCCCTTAACCCCCAGCTCCAGGGACGCTACATGTTAGCTGATCCTGCACTGTCATCCCCAAGCTATAGAGAGCAAGATGGAGTCAGCGAAGAGTAGCATTCCAGTGTACTGTACCTGTACTCGTGCAAAGGGCAAATAAAGCATGTTTTCATATATGAATGACTCAAACACCACCACTGTGTCAGTCTGAACCCTGTAAAACATATTAGGTACATTTATTTGAAATATTCTCTTAAACTGTATAACAGTAGATTACAGTATTACAAGGCCATCAAAATCTTAAGAACCAATAACTGCCTTCTAAAGGGGTATTCTTAAAGGTTAACTTTTCATCAATGCCATGTAAATCATGCATACAGTCAGTTAACATGCATGCATACAATCAACTTAACGTGTAGTATGACGAGTCACATGCTGGAGTTTACCGTAAAATATGCCCAGGTGTCACAACATAAAAACAAAACATTTCATGAGTTACTCCAAATATTACCATTAATAGACATTTCTTTTTTTACTGCACAGTCAAATATTTAGCAACATTTGAACTGAAAAATATAAATAACATCGCAGCTTGCCTTGATAAATGAAACGTATAATGTCTTTCATTTAAAATGATAAGACAAATTGTGAATGTTTGTTGTCTATCAGAAATAAGAAAAATGTTTGTTTTGAATGCGCATTTCGCCAAGCAATATGACTAAATGCAGCTTAGATGTACATTTCTATTGGAACATTCCAGGTCACTTTTTTTCTATTCCCTCCTAAATATTTGTACGACCTCCTTGGACCATTCATAACTTTTTCAGGGTACGTTTTATTTACGTTGTTATTTTATGAATCTCACGATCTTCTTATAAATGTGCATGTGAACGTTTCTTGTCAACTTTGTTCACACAAAGCCTTTATAAATAACAAAGCACCCCGGAGTTTATCCACCCTTGCTTTTTTCCCCTGTCTGTATTTGGAAGCCAGCCTTCATGTTGACCACACCCCCGACTATTATCTGAGCCCCGGCCTTTAATTCAATCCCAGTGTTTCTTTGAGGAAAGCTGATTGTAATATATAGTACTGAGTGACTACAGCAGTACAGGGTTGGCCTTGGATTAAATTATTTGGGGAATCCCCACAGGCTTACAGTACATTTCTTTCTGGGCAGGGGGGGTCCCCCTCAATAATTTTTCTGCCCCACATACCCGTTGGCCCACCAGGAAAATGCCCAGAATGCCAGATGACCAGTCTTGCTCTGCAGAAGTAGTAGAAATAGTAGTGACAGACACATTCGAGGCATATTTGAGCAGTATAAACGGGTGCCAGTTAGGTAGTCTAAAGAAATTTGAATAAAAATTATTGTGGAATCTTAATGTCTGAGTGTTTATGGTGTGAATTGCTTGACAGGGCAGAGGGAGGCGAAAAGTACCTGTGCTGGATTACTGTGGTCTTTGCGGAGATGCCCTACTTTTCAGAAGCAGCGTGTGGTATAGATATCCTTTCCTACTGAGAGCGTAGTGCAGGTGATGCTCTGTGCTGGTTTTACTGCTCTCTGTAGTGTTTTGCAGTGCTGTGCTATGCAGTTGCCTTACCAGCATATTATAGCCCATGAGGAGGGTTTCCACAGTTACACCAGTAGAAGATTGTGAGGAATGTAGGTGAAGTCCAGGCCATCCGCAGACGCCTGAGGAAGTATAGATCTGGTCCAGTTGATACCAGCTGCAGTGTTCTGTAGGTCAGTGATGAGGGTTAAAGCTACTGACCAGCTCACCAACTTCTCCACCTAAAGTAGATCAGGCCTGACCATCCCACCAAATGCAGCCCAAGACCAGAATGGAAGATGCATCAGGAGATGTCAAAGAACCTCATGGTGTCATCAAGGGGTCAACAGGCAGCCCATCCCACAGTCCATGTAAAAATGTGCAAGTCAACCATAAGAATGGCATCCCATAAATTTGGTCAACAGAATCAGCAATGAAGAGGCCTCTGCTCTTTAAAAAGAGCATTGACATCACATCGAAGATGTACGTTTGCTAATAAACCGTTGAGTCTAAGGTGGATTTCTATAGACAACACAGCATCTGAGAAAACGAACCTCAGCTGTGAAGCTTGGTGGTGGCAGTGTTTTGGTCTGGGGCGGTTTTGCACCCTGAGTCTGGGCGGCTCATGGCCATAGTGTCTACAATGAATTCAGCCTCACAACAGAGAGTGTTTAAGGAAAATGTGAGGGCATCTGTCAAAAACTTTAAAGTTAAGTGGGGCTTTTAACAGGATGTTAGCCCCCAGCATAGCACATCCAACTCCTACCAAGCAAAGAAACCTCAAAACAAAGGAAATGAGGTTTATGGAATAGCCAAGTCAATTTAATCCAACTGAAATG